CAGGGGGGACAAGGGGGACGATGGGGCCGGCAGCCCCGGCCATGCTCTGTTGCGACGACGCCGCGCCCCGCTTCCCACGAGGCGGGACCCCGCTGCCACGAGGGCTGAGGGACAGGGGGGACACGCGCGTATGCTTGATATCGGCTTGGCCGACAGGTCGGGCGGATGGCAGTGGGGGGTGACCCGGATGGGGGTGGAGAGAAGGGCCCCTTCGAAGCCCTTTGCTACACCCCCCATTCAAATCACCCCCCACCTGGGGATCCCAAAACCGTGTGGTGACAGACCGTGAGGTGACCTCGGAACCCCAAGAGACATCACCGCGCGGTCCGTCACCGCACGGTCTTGGGACCCTGGACGCCCCAGTCGCCCGAGACATCCTCGAAGAACGACCCAAGTCCCAAGTCCCAAAACCGTGCTGTGACCCCGAACCCCCACCGACTCACCGCACGGTGTGGTCACCCCCCCGTTTGGGGGCCCCCGACCCACGACCACCCGCCCGAGTCAGCCGATGTGCACCGTGTCCGGGATGCCAGGGCCGCCGTCCCGGGGGCCCGGCGAGGCCCCCCCGGCGCCCCCCGCCCTGGCGTCGCCGAGCGCCCCCTCCCGGGGCCGGGAGCGCGTATGCCACCCCGGGGACGGCTTCGCCAGGGGTGCATACAAAGCGAGGAGACTTGTTTTATGGGGCCCGAAGGTATACACCACCACCACCTCCCTCATCTCCCTCCCTCTCCCAGGAGAGAGGAGAGGAAGATGAGGGTTGAGGAGGGAGGAGGAATCGACGTGGTGGTGGTGTATACTCTTGGGGTCCGCATGTTTGGAAACGGATTCCGCGCTCGCTTCGGGCCCACATCCTGTGCGGCGCCTTCATCAGGGCTGAAGTGGTTCTGCCTTCGCCGTCCCGGCTCATACATGGTGGCGTCCCTGTTCGTTGCGAGCTGGCGTTACGGCATGTTTGCTCCTTCTCCTGACCAGCGCATGCGTGATCAAGGTATCAATTGCATTAACAGGCGTGCCCCTGGAAACAGAGCATTACGCATGTGCCGCAAGCGTGCCGTGCCGTGTCATGCCGCAATTGGTCTTCATAATGCGGCAAATGCACCATGCCGTACCGTATTGTGTCGCCCGCGGCGCAAGGGTTACCGCTTCGGGATGCGTGGGGCGTAGATGAGGCACGCAAGACAAGAGGCGTAGATCATGCACTCGAAACAATGCATGTCCGAAAGAAGTTTGCAACGTTGTTTCTTGCGCCTGAACGCACTGTCATCGCGACACGACTGAGACCGCAAGTCGTGGAGGGGTTTGTGGTACAGTCAAAACGTGTATTAAGGACGGGAGATAAGGACGCAAGACCCTTGGAGGCCGAAGTTGGGTTTTTTAGGGCGGCGGGAGAACAAGTGATCATGGCAAGGACGGGCCTCAGAGGCAAGGACACAAGGGTACCCTAGATGAAGGCGCGCGTCCTTACTGGGCGCGTTGACTGTACCTCGAGGGGGACCCTGCGAGACGCGCGGACGCGCTCGGCGCCAAAAGGTTTCGTGGCAAGGTGAGACCGTGCGGGACGCGCGGCTGCGCGAGGCGCCCAAGGTTTGGTGGCAAGGTGAGACCGTGCGGGACGCGCGGAGAAGGGCGAGGCGCTGACAGTTTCGTCGCACTTTTTTTTGAGCCCCTCGTGGAAATCGCGGGTGCGTTCGGTGCCGAGGCTTCATGGCGCTGGAAGGCGATGCGAGACGCACGGAGGCTTTTTCGGCGCCGAAAGGTTTCGTGGCACTGCGAGATCTCCGGTGAGACGCGCGGATATGCTCGGCGCCGAGGGTTCCGTGGCACTGTGAATCAGTGTGGGACGCGTGGACGCGCTGCGCCGAGGGTTTCTTGGCACTTTGCGGCCGCGTACGGCGCGCGGATGTTCTTGGCGCCGAGGGCCTCGCGGCACCTGGAGACCGCGCGAGACTCCCGGATGTGCTCGGCGCCGAGGGTGCTGGGGCACTTGGAGACCACTTGAGGCCGCCATCGGGATTTACCTTGGACGCAAAGTTGTGTCGTTTATGAACACCGTGAGGCCTAGCCGACGCTCACGCACTCTCATGCCAGAAGCCAGGGGTCGGAGAATCTCAGGGTGGTTGAGCCCGGAGGGGCCGCCGCCGAGGCTCGCCACTCGCTGCACGGCCTTAAATGCGCGCGTTTGTGACCCACGTCGACTCGGCTGGGCGTGCGGCGCCCGACGTGACTGCCGCGGGGCTGTCGCTGGTATGACGTGCACGCACATGCCACCCGATGGAAAAAATGCCCCATTGCATGCCCATCCTTCTCCGCAGTCTGTATACACCAGTCCTGGTCCAACCATGGGCCAGGGGCAACGGACATCCGTGAAACCCTCCTCCCCCCAAACATGTCGTCCCTCGAAAGATGTGCTGCTGCTTCCGCCAGCCTTCCGCCAGCTTCCGCCAGCGGAGGCGGCCTCGCTTTCCTTCCGCCGCCTTCCGCCGAGGCAGAGACGGCAACTCCTTCGACCTCCGAAGGCGAGGCCGAGCGCCAGTGCGTGGATCTCGTCGCCCCAGGCGCCACTGGCGTCAAGCGGGTAGGAGGAGGAGGAGGAGGAGGAGGAGGAGGAGGAGGAGGAGGAGGAGGAGGAGGAGGAGGAGGGAGGAGGAGGAGGAGGGAGGAGGAGGGCGGAGGAGGAGGAGGAGGAGGAGGAGACCCCGGCGCGCATGTGTGCCCCACGCTTGCGGGAGGGCTGGGCGAAGGCCAGGGCAGGCGGGCGGGCCCGGAAGACGCTGGGCACGCCCCTCGGCTCCTCTCGCCTCGGGCCTGCGCGCAAGGAGGCGGCCCTGTGCAAGAGTGACCTTTGCCACGCGGCCTCCACTATACATACATACGTACATACATACATACATACATACATACATACATACACACATACATACACATATACATACATATATACGTACGTACGTACGTACGTACGTACATACATACATACATACATACAGACATACGTATACACATACATACATACATACAGACAGACAGACAGACAGACATACATACATGCATGCATGCATGCATGCATGCGTACACACATACATACATACATACATACATACATACATACATTTCTACAGCTGTACTTAGGCCCCACACCCAAGAGAGCCGCCTACTTAATTGTTGCTGTTGACCCTGACGTGCAGCCGCGGAGCGGTGACTATACTGGGAGCGGCCGCCACGTCAGGAAACCAACCTTTTCGAGAACTCTGCCTTGCCAAAGGTACAGCGGGCATTCTCAAAAGTCACTGGGCGAGAGTGAAGGGGGGGGCTGTCGTCGACGTAGCGGTCGGAGTCGGCGACGATGAAGAAAACCCCCCCCTCGGCCCCGTATGCGTCCAGCGCTCTTCTATGTAGATGGCCAGGTAGCGGAGCTGGCGTCCCAGCCATCGTAAAAACCAGGGCCACGTGGCAGAAGACATGCCTGGGGCATCTTCGATGTCCGCGATTGACAGGCTCAGGTTGGGCGGCGCCATCGTGTCTTGTACGAGGGATTGTAGCGTCCGCCCTATCTCTGGAGCCTGAGGTCCGAAGTCGTAGCCCATCAGCGCCCAGGTCGGATTCGCCCAGCGGGGTCGAAAAGTCACGTTCGCCGCGCGCCAGGCTAGAGCCACGTGGCCCGTCCTCAACCAGCGGACCTGAATGCTAAGCGACTGGAAGTCGCCATTCGGGTGAAACTTCTGGTAGTCACTGTCCACCACGGGGCGCCCAGGCGCCACGACACGTATGGCCGTCACCAGCTCCTGGGTCCACTCGGCGGGGAGCTGCAGGATGTTGCTGCCCTTCTCGCCGAGCACGAGCGCCTCGATGTCCTCTCCCGAGTCGAGGAAGAGGCGCCCTGCCTTGCAGGTGGCCGATACGTTCAACAGGTCGTAGCCGCGCCACGCCGTCTCGCCCAAGGAGAGGGAGCCATCCGTGATGGCCGCCACGAACCTGGCCGCCGAGTCGGTCACGTTGGCGCCCGACGCGAGCACCCTGCTGGCGGCTCCTCCCACGCCCTCCACTAGGTCGGTGGCCGCGCGCACCGCCCTCGTCGCCGTCGGAAAGAGGGCCGCGGGGAGGACCGCCAGGACGGCGAGCAGCATCATCAGGTGCCTCGAAGACGCCGCGCGTGCGGCGGCTAGGCCACCCAGCCAGTTCGCCCAGCCGCGGCGGCGTGGCGGTGCCCTAGGCACGGCTACGCTCCCTCGCGGCACGGTGGCGGGCTGCTCCACTGGCGCGGCCAGCTGCACGGACGCGACCCCCCCGGCCGTGGCCCCAGGCGGCGCCGCGGCGGCTGGCGGCGTCTCCGCCCGCCAGGAGGCCCCACAGGGCAGCTGCGGGACGGGCGCCTGGGCCGCTGGCAGCGCTCCACCAGGGTCAGGAAGCGGCGACGGCAGCGTCGGCACGGGAGATGAAACCATGGACCAGGAGGCTGGCGATGATCGTGAGCCCCTCGAACTGGCCCCTGGTGACGCAGTCCTCCCCGGCAGGATCCACTGCCCGTTCGCCGACTTCCTGGAACCCTTAGGCGCCATGCACTGAAAGGGCCTGGAGAATATACCAGGCCCAATGGTGGCTCGCCCAGGACAAAGCGGCCTCGAAGCCCTGAAGGCGGAGAGTCGTGCTGATCTGAGCCGCCGTGACTACATCGATGTAAATTCTCAAACTTGAATCCATTCGCCAACGGCCCGTTTCTCGTATAACTTCAAAGGGAACTCCCAAAGCAGACGCTTCTGATGCATAGCCGGCCCTCGGACTGTGTGGGGTCCACCTCGTGTCGAGCCCGTACCCCTTCTGGATCTCCATGAGCTCCCTCCGATAGACCTCCATGGGGTACGGGAAAAGGCGTTGGCCAGCAGGCGTAATCGAGCGGAGGTGACGAAGGATGCGAAAGAAGACGACATCTTTTGGCAAGCGGAGCGCCACAGCCTGGGCCCGCTTGGCCTTGGTACCGGTCTTGAGGCCGAGCCCGATCACGAGGGCCCCCTCACTCTGATGGTAGCCGCCGTCCTCTGGGAAAGTCAGGTCGTCCACCGTGAGCCCCAGCATCTCGGACGGCCGCAGGCCCACGTGGGCCTGGAGCGCGACGCCTGCGCCCAGGCGCGGCCGTCCTCGGCTGGCGATCTGCACTGCCATCCACCTGCTCGGTCTCGACGTCATGGGGACTGTGTGCCTGACAGGGTTCAGGATCGTCCATCCTCTGATGGCGGCGTGCGCGCAGGCCAGCTTGCCCTTCAGCCTAGGGAAACGGAACTCCAGCGCGCTGACGGTGGTGATGAACTGCGCCCTCGTCAGCTCCTCGCGTAGGCTATGTTTGAATTCAATCAGCGTGTCGTCCCACTCGTCCGGTGTCCACGGAGACGCGTGGTGCAGCTGGCACCACGACACCAGGCGAGCGGCTGCAAGTTTATAGTGGTCCAGCGTCTTCGCGGTGACCCTGCCCTCCAGGTGGGGGTCGACTGCGGCTGCTGGCGGCCCCTCGGGCCTGGCACTCGTCATAGTTGGACCCCGCGAGGCGGTGCTGCCAAGATGGCCTTGGCCGCGGGGGTCCTGGGCTCCTTCGAGAAAGCGTCGAAACATGGTCTCGATCGTGAGAGCTGATCGGCGGGCTGCCTCTCCGTGTCCACCCACGGTAGGTGCTGCCGTATGTCTGTGATGGCCGAGAGCGCCGCTCGCTTCCGTAGTACGTAGTTGAGGCCTCCAGAGGTCGACCTCCCCTTGGCGAACGCCCAAGCAGTTACCATGTTGTCTTCCATATTCATCACTTTGGTGCGGTGGGCGTAGCTCGCCCAGGCTAGCCTCTCCAGCGGCACTAGTGCGGCTCGAGCCTCGCCCAGGGTGATGTGGTCGGCAAACCTCCACCTCCCGGCCAGCAGCTCGGTCCACTCGATGTCTGAGCTCAGCGCCTCGGCGGGGATCGCACTCACTGGAGTGAAAGCCTTCAAGGTGCGGACGCCGCGCTTGACCACCTTCTCGATCTGGCCGTTGCGCAGCAGCGCCTTCCCTGGTCTGAGGCCCGCCTCCCACATGGCCTCCTGGACCTCCGCGGGAAGCAGGGCGCCGACCACTCCGAAGCCGCCCGCGTCCACCGCGTTGTCGCCCTCCGCGTCCGTCGCGAGGGTGACGGGGTAGAAGGGCGCGCCCAAGTCGGCGTAGAGGCCCATCACCCCCCTCATCATGGCCACTGCCTCCCGTCGAGCCGAGCTCCACCACCGGCGTCGTCTCGGGCCCTCGAGTGCGGCGAAGGCGAAGATGCGCTGGGGGGCGGCCAGCCAGTGTCTGGCCACGAGCGCCGCCCAGATCCAGACGCCGATGACGGACCTCAGGCTGTCTAGGTTCACCACGTGCTGGCGGGTGAGGTGCTCCAGGGCGCGGTAGAGCAGGAGGGCCTTCGCGGCAGGGACCCGCACCCTCGCCGGTCTCTCCTCCAGCTCGTAACCGATGATCTTGGTCATCTCGCCCCTCCTCCGACGGTCCTTGACCAGGAAACCGATCCTCTCCAGCGCCTCGGCGGACTTGTGGAGGGCCACGTCGCACTCCAACTCCGACTCGGGCCGCTCCTTCAGCTGGGACATGAACAGGCAGTCGTCGATGTGCAAGTAGATGCCGACGTCCGCCTCTCGCAGGATCGCGTTCCTGCCCCTCGCCGAAACCTCGTTCAACACCAGTAGGCCTTTGGAGTTGGCTCCAGCTGTCCGTCTCGAATAGTCTCCTATGCGTCGGACCGCGATGTCTGCTCTCAAATGCCCCGTAGGGCCGCTCCCTTCTGCCAGCATCCTCTTGAAGTTCATCACAAAGAGGCCGGCAATCGCACAGCAGAGCCTGTCGGGGCAGGCGGCCAGGCGGGCCGAAACAAACTTCCCGTTTTGCTTCCCAACGCTCACTTCGTGGCGGTGGTCTCCTCGACAGCGGCGGCCGTCGAGCATCTCCAGGTGATATAAGTTGCCGGCGAGACACGTGGGCTTCCGGGTGGGGCTGCCGTAGGTGCACTGGTCGAAGACTGCTCTCGTAGCCCCCGTTCTCTCCTCCAGCGCTCGCTCCAAGTCCGTCGCCCACACCGACGGGAAAGGATCCTCCCCTGGGTCCTCGGGATGCTCCATGAGCCAGAGTCCTCCGCGAAGCGCCACGGCCTCGCAGAAGGACAGGAAGTTCAGCATGGCCACGTTGCCCTCGTCCAGGCGCTGCTTCTCGTAGGCGGTCAACGTGTGGGCTGGGACTCCCCAAGCCCACATCCCTCGCCGCCTGAGGGGGCGCGGCCCTCGTCCACCCACCATGTCGACGAAGCGGGCGCGGCTCCACGTGGCACAGGGTGGGCCTCCGACCACCGCGTCCACCAAACCCTCCTCGATCAGCGTCATGAGGAGGTCGAAGGTGTCCTGCTTGGTCAGGTCCCAGCGCGAGTCGAACCCGAGGTCGCACGACAGCACGAGGATCTCCAGGTCCTCGTCCCTGCCCAGCTCGGCCAGGTGCTCCTCCAGGTCGCCTGCGCGCCGTGGGCCCGAGAAGAGGTGCAGCACCGCGAACACGCGTCGGCGAGACGCCTTCGCCGCCCGTACTACGCTGCACCACTCCTGCACTCCGTAACCGACGGACGGGGCGGTCGCCTGGCGCCGCAGGGCCTGGCGCGCCACCCAGTCCTCGTCCTCGCCGCCAGCGCAGAGCTGGCACTCCTCGGTTGAGTCGAAAGCCTCGGTCTTCCCGATGTTCAAGTGGTGATGCAACGTCATACCCACGACCCTCATGTTGATATTCATCAGCACGTGCACCGAGTGGGAGTTGCCCATGACCAAGCGGGTCCACA